CTCTCGGAGATGCCGAATCCTATAAACGTCCCGCACCTACGAGTGACCTTTCCTTCGAGACGCCCTCCGTCTCCCCACCCCCCTGCCTCCAACATTCCACAATTCATCTCGAAACCCTTTACAGCCTTTACAGCCGTCTCGATTGCCCGAACGTAGGAGCTAGCTATCTATCGATAACGATGAGCGATGAGCGATAATCTCGTAGGGTTGGGGGAGTCGGTGGAGAAGCAGAACGCCACTTGCGAGGAGAGTAAATGTATAGGGGACCGACGAGGAGGAGACGGTCGAGGCCGAGTCGAGGCGACAAAGGGCTCTGTACACGATGGGTGCTCGCGGCGCATCTCTAAATGGCCGCGCTGCGCTCACGGCCCCAATCATCCCGGAAATCACAACGAGAGCGTGGGCGACTCGGTCGTTATCCCCCGACGAGGTGTCGAGACGAGGAGGCGCAAGCTCTAGGATTGGCGAGCTCGAAAGTCGTGGGTCAACGGCCTCCGCCGGCCCCGCGCGAGCTCCGCTAAATCGTATCGCGATAACAAGAGGCGCTGGGAAACGCGCGACCGGGGTTCAATGCACCCCGGGCCGAGGAAGATACCCGAAGCACGGCCCCGGGACCGATTGGCGCTCGAAGCTACGTCTAGGCCCCGCTCTCCCGCTGTATCATCGATCGGCCATCCTCGGCGATCGCCGATCAAAAGGCGTGGCTGGAAATTCGGATATAACGGTAGCTTGGCGCAAGCTTACCTTTCGACGATCCCGCGCGTCCAAAGGACGAGATGGCGCCCGCGCCTCCCCTTCCCCTACAACAATCGCCGCGTCCTCCTCATTCTACACTTAAACCCCCTCCCACTCGCCGAGACCTCAGTCCAACCGAGGTCCCCGGGTCCTTGAACTTGAGTGCCAAGGTAGGGGGACGAGAGCGACGAGGACCGCGCGGGTCTCGGGCGCGCGAGCAGTAAAGTAGCGACGAGTCCCGAGCCGGCAAGACGACCCGGAGGAGGAAAACCGAACTCTCAGCATCTTCGTGGTACGTATGGTGATGTGCCATTGTAAGCGCGTCAGTTTGAATTTTCGAGGTCGGGAGTCCATTGTGTGGTTCTCTTTGGCCAGCGAGCAGCTCCTGGCGAGGAGCTCGTTAAGGGGATTACTTAACCTGGAGGAACATCGTGTCGATGAGATTAGAGAAGACACTCTTCGTAGCCTCGTATTTCCGCCATCGTGTTTTCCAATTCGTTGAGCGCCGCATCATTGGATTACGTGGGCTACCATTACTTACCCCCGCCACCGCCGACGGTCACCATAACCGGCAATCTTCATACTTCGTTATATAATCGTTACGATAGTATCTGGTAAACGATCTGATCGACGCCATCGTTAATTCCTCGCCGCTCCCTTGTTATTGGCACGGCAAGGTAGATGATCTGGAAAACGATCGCTAAATTCGGAACGAATGGACAATAAAAATCTCCAACACCTTTAAAATTTCAATTTCATTATTATTTGTCCCGGGCAAGACTCGTGCAATATTCTACTTTCGCCAATGAAATGTCGAATTGAAACTAACCATCTCGGGTCTGACGTTGGACAGAAAATGTATCGATGAAGCTTTACGTCATTGTCGACGTAAAAGTCGGAAAAAGCGTCGATGTAAAAGTCGATCTTCGTCTAAAGTGAAATTCGATCGCAGACCGACACACTTACAACCTTACATTGGTCATTGAAAGAGGGCGGTCATTGGAAGAGATATTAATGAAATAAGTTCCTTTCAAATTCACGATGAATTAATTTTACACGATTAATTGTGCCGTTGAACTTGATTATTTGATATTAAGTTAGTTGGAAAAATCCAAACGATCCAATTTCTCAATTGCATAAAATCACAACAACAACAACGACGACGACGACGATAAAAGCAAAATACAACATCCCTACTGAATATTAATAAAACATTTACATTAATGGATGGCTTTATGAATTGTGCGTTCGTAAAAGCTCTTGACAAAGTCTCGACCTATTTGTTACTCTTGGCAAAAGTAAAAAGCTCTTTGGACTTGCATGTAGTGACGCAATAACACATTCGATCTATCGAAAAAAGCAGCCATTTGCAAACGGCGTGTCATTGTCCGGTGATAAAAATCTTACGAAACGGCCTCCTTCACGAAAGCTTCCTTTATGAAATAATATATCAACGGATGTCCCAGTCGACTCGAATCCCAACAATCGACAACCATAAAGTACCAATATACACTCGATAATTTATTTTAAAAGCTTACCATTAAATTCCCATAATCAATTATTTTTCCCGGATGCTGAATGCCGGATGACGATATTTATCAAAGCGCAAACCGGGTATCACGAAATCGACACAGCGACGTGTAGACGAGCTCGATCGATCGATAAATAGCTCAACGACGCGATTAACAGACAGCGATTGCAGATCCGCCCGAGTCGAGTATCGATAAGATGGAGGTGTGCATCAACATGCGCGTCTTCAAGGCGCTTATCTTGGTGAACGCGCTGCTGGTGATGGGCCTCGAGGCGAATCCCCTGCTGCAGCATTCCCGCGAGCGAGAGTCGAAGCCCGGCTACAACGATAACCCGGAGGCCGATTCGAAGAAGGAGCTGTCGAGCGACCATTACGACCAGCGCCAGAACGGCACGGAAAATTACAGAGTCAAGGGTTCGTATGATACGTGGAGTGTGCCGCCGCCGGGGCGAGAAAAGCCGACGTCTCGCGGCTAATAATGGCATTTCCGCTATTAATCTCCCTCCCGCTTCTTCCCCAATTAAAATGGATCGCACGATATTGCCACGGGAACTTTTAATCGCTTCTCTCTCTCTCTCTCTCTCTCTCTCTCTCTGCACGCGCATTTCAATTGGCAAGCTCGAGTGCGTTGCGATGATAATGTCTGACCCTTTGTTGGCTAGTTATAGTGCTTCGCTAATTTCAAATCTGGCCCGATCTTATCGACACGCACGCACGCACGCACGCACGCATAGACGCACGGAAGATGATATAATAAATCATATACTCTCTCTGACGCGCACACGCTCGAGTCATTTTGTATCTTTTGCTGCTCCCTTTCAAAGTCAAAGAAAAGATTTTTATAGATCAAATTATACATTGATACAATGGACCTGATCATAAAAACCTTTTCTCTCTCTCTCTCTCTCTCATTATAAGCTCTGCATTAAATAAAAAAAAAAAAATAAAAATACAATTTTCCAATAATTTTCAGTTGACGGTTTGGTGTTCATCTTAGCCCCTGCGGACAGTCTCTTATTGGCCGGCGCAGCACTCGAGCCGAACTTTACTTCGTTGTTCTCGGAGAGCGGCAAACCGAAGCCGAAGCTAGAGAAGGATTATGCGCCAAAAGCGAAGGACGACAAAGTAGAGGCGCTCAAATCAACTCAGCAGGATCACGCGCACATGGCTCACAAGTACGATGAAACTTAACTCTAACTGGCCCTCCTACTTCCTTTCTAGCACGACGTATTTTTCAACTTAAACATGTTCTAGGCCTGTTCTGCGCATATCAAATCTCATAGCGCCGCTCCTCAATCGGATTACCTCGCTGGCCAAAAACGACAAGTTCAACGTGCCCAAGAATACCGATGCATCCACCTGAAGCACTATTCCATCATATATATATATATATATATATATATATATACATGTATATGCATGTGCACGTGTATTAATAATCTTACGTATCGTACAGACAAGTGATGCACTGAAAATAGTGATGTTAGTTGCGTTGATAAATTAATAGTTTTAAGGGCGTTACGAGAATAAATGAATAAGTAAATAAATAAACCAGCGCTTTATTTTGTATGAAAAAAAAAGAAAAAAAAAACGAAAAAAAAAAAATTTATTCGTCTTTTAAAAATTAATAATTTTACATTAATTAATATGTAACCTACTGGCTCTGTCATTTCTTACAATCTCTTTTTGGTACGTTCGTATAATATTCGTAAATTGTATAAAAATGATTCACTATGAAATATAACTTAGCTGCACAATAATGAAAGCTCGTCGAACGTTACACTGCATTAAAATATTTACGCGTGCATAATAGTACGATAAATGATATATTCAGTTCTCCGTACAGCCAAGCGTGTGATTCTTTTGTTCTCTCTTATCATTTCGTTTTTCTTATTCGAAAGCAAAACGGTTTACTTACTTTTAAAACTCAATCACAACGAGGACCAAGTGATATAATTTATATTAGCAACAAGATATATTATTACAAAGAATTCGGACCCTAGCAGCTGAAGCTTTCTTTTCTACTATCGGGAGAAATTATTTTTTTAAATTGATGTGTATATAGATATACATATATATATATATATATATATATATATATATATTTATATAGATGTGTATATATATATATATATATATATATATATATATATATATATATATATATATATATATATATATATTCCTTTCTTCAAAATCACTAATAATTATTCATAGCGACATATCAATACAATTTGACGTACTTTCTCTTTTCTAAGAATCTTAAAGGCTAAGAATCACTGTCATTTCAATATGTACAATTATAGCATTAGACGTTAACTTTCTTCTCTGTGGAGCTAAAGAAAAATCAGATAACAATTTTTTTCCTCTTCTCCATCTTAAATTCTCGTCTTATATTTGATCGTGTACCACTATTTATTGAGAAATAACGTTAATTAAAATTGATGATACGCTTTTAGTGTCATACTATATACAATTAATTATGCGAAAATATCCAAATTAAAATATTTGAATTTAACTGCGCGTAGCACTGCTTTCAATATGTTTTGAAGATTACAATTGTAGGATATATATTTGATATTTTGTCGCTTTTGAGAAGAAAACTCGTTATTTGGTAATTCGAATAAAAATATAATTTCTTAACAGTCTTTTGCAGAAATATTTAGGAGTACTTTTTCTTTACTTTTTTCTTTAAGAGAGCAGGATAGCAGCATTTGCGTTTTGTTCGTCATCTTTGAATTCACCTAAAATGCATTTGTTCCGTTCCACGTGAGCGTCGATTATTAATTCCTTCGCATCATTCATCTACAAGACAAGGTACCGTTAAATATAATCAATACAAGAATACGATAATAACAATAAAATTTTATCCTATAAATTACCCCTTTTATCACATGTTTAAAGTTTTCCATTCTACTTGTTTCATCATTTACACCGTTACTCGAAAGTTTCGTTTCGAAATCTTGTGAATTTTCTACAGTTTTCCGTTCGGCTAAGAATATGTCTAATCTAGTTTCCAATTCCAATCTGTAAGTTGAATTAAAAATAACAAACGACATTATCAATTGTAGCTTAAAGTTTTATTCGGATAGGAAGGATACGAAACCCGTACTTATCGTCTTTCAATTCTTGAATGCACGTGTCATTATCAAGTTGTATAATACGTAAAACTTTCAAAAGCTTAGTGACAAGATTGTCAACGTCAATCACTTGATCAACAAGACTAGCAGCTTGGCAATAATCACTCAATGGTAGCAGACCTTCGGACGGACCAGTATCTGATTCACTGATTGATTCACAGTTCTCCTCTTCTTCGTCTTCAACCTGCAAGTATTATCGTGATTTTTAGTTTTTCTTTTAACTTGGATTAAATTAAATTCTCTGGGAAATTTATTTGAAAATTGTTTACTTAAACGTAGGAGTAAGTATCTCATCTAATTAAAATCAATTTGATTATTATTATTATTATTATTATTATTATTATTATTATTATTATTATTATTATTATTATTATTATTATTGTTATCGATGAAATGCCGTTGGATTTTCTATTAAAATGATGTTACTTAATTATATATGCGAAGAGTTTTAGAATTTTACATTAATCAGACCGATTAGTTATATATGCGCAATTTCGTTCACTTTACTTATTAGTAATATTATCAGTGTCTCGACTAATAATGAAACTCTTATACATTAATTTATGAACATACGTCCTGTATATAATTGTTTATTATTATTATTATTATAATATATGCTTACTTTACGCCTGTGCAGTATTGCTTGAGTTAAATTCGTTAGGCTACTCGATTCTCCGTTCATCTTCATATTTTTGAAATTATGCTCATCAACAGTCTCAGACATACTTAAAACTCGTCTAAGTGAATCACAACTAGATACCATATTATGTGAATAGGTGTCTGGTAAAGGAACATCTTCCAAAACACTTTCCATCATTAGACAAGGTTCGGTTTCAAAGTCAAGTAGATCCGATGATGATTCTGTGCTTAAGTCTATAATAAATAAATATATGTAACAAATTAGATTTTAGCAATTTGTGAGAATGTTATGTACAAAAGTGTGATAGTGATAATGAAGGTTATCGTTTGCTTATGAAATGTGATGTTGCATCACTTTGCATTTGAATAAATGAAAACGTACCTTTTCGTATTGTTTTAGAGGAGTCGTTGAACTTGTTTTCGTTCGTTTTTGTCGTAAATGGATGATTCGCGGCATTCAATAACGGCGGAAACGAAAGAACCTCGTTTAGGGCTCGGTGTGCAGTCTTTCAAGCTGTGCTTTGAACTGACAGGACTTGATTCGACACTACTGTTACTCCGACTATAAGCTTCGTTATGGTAAACTACATCCTATAAAAGTATTATTTCTATTTAATTTAAGCATATAAACTAATAGGACATTTAAAGTTTATTGCCGGAAAAATTTTCAGGCATGACATTAAAAAAATGCGAAAGAATAGAAACAAATAAAAAATAAGAGATGGTGCATTCGATGGCTTTAAAGTAATATTGAAATGTTCAATGTTGCAAGTCACATTAATATACGGTAAAATAAAAATATCGTTAGAATGTGAACAATTTTGAATCAACCGTATTTTGTTGTATGTACCTCGAAATCTTTTTCTGAAATATTATAAGACATAATCAGTTGATCGATAAGTCCTTCCAATCGGTTTCCCAGTCCTGAAAGTGCTACCGACGCTCCCGAGGATGCTGCTCCTTGTGCAAGCAAAAGCTCCTTGCTTCTTCTTTCAACTGCATTTAACTTCATGCTTAGCGAGAGATTTTCTTGCCTTCTTTGTTCACTGATTCTAACAAGATGCTTACACTCCTCCGTTTGTCTTTCCAATTCTGATGATAATTGCTTGCCATTCTCGTCCTTCTTCTTCAATTCAATTTCAGCTTCTTTTAAGGCGATCTCTAACGTAGTCTTTTCCTCTTGCAGGAAATCCTGCATTTCCATAGATTCGGCCTCGAGCTCTTGCTGCTGTTGAAGCAACGCCTTCTGAGCAGCTAAACTTTTCTCTAAATCCTGCAATGTATTAATCCCATTATAATGCCATACAATCTGCATCAATACTTATGGAATAAGAAAATAAAGAAAAAAAAAAATAAAACATAATTATCCCTACCCTGCTCAGCATTCTACAAAGTGACTGGAGATCAGCTATTTCGATTTGTTGGTTAGCAACAACTTGTCCTGACGATTGGAAATGAGATTCCAACTCTAAAAAACTATCGCTTCCCTCTGAAATAACGATATGCGACAATTATAAATTAATATTGCCATTTTTGTGTCAATAACATAATACTCCTCCAAGCCTTAATGTTTTCTTAATGTTAACATATAAACAATGAGAAAAGAACCAAATGACAAATTACGGCCATGTATGTATGGCTCACTTGTCAGGTGATAATAAAACATGAAGAATATTACAATTTCGTTATCATCGCACTTTGGTTTATTATTTAAATGCGTCGAGGATGTACCTGCATGCTCAGATTGTGGCGTCCCAAGCATTGCCAATACTCTCTGGGCATTTCTGTCCAATTCCTGTCTTGCAAATACATGATCCGCTTGTACTTCTGCGAGTTTCTTCTTTAGCTCTTCAACTTCTATTTTCAATTTTTCGTTGTCCTTTGTTCTCTCGTCACACTCACTTATAGCCTTCTTTAAGTCTCCCTTCACCAGTTGCAAATCATCCCAACTACCCTCCGTCTGGCTGTCTTTTTCCAACTTCTCCACACTCTCTGGATTCGGTACGATAGTAGCTATTCCCGCCAAACAATTGTCAATATCTTTACCTGCAAAAATGTATTATTTTTGTACTAAATGTATTATTTACAATGCTTTGTAATAACGGGCATTAATCCATGGATCCACAACGCACTTAAAAGTCAATCGCTTGAAAGGAATTTTATATTTTAATTGACAGTTTGCTGTCTAGTACAGATTTTGAGATATTTTATTCGTACGCCCAATTAATAATAAAATATTTATCTCGGACACTGTTTTAATCGGTAGCCTTTATTCTTATGTAATATTATGTATACATTAATGTAATATTCTAATATAATAGTCGACTGTTTTACCGATATTCTTCACCACGAACAAGAAGTTAAAACAAACGTTAAAGTATTATAATATTATAATATCGACTCTTATCAATCGCGAATAAAAGTGTCTAGTCTGTTCCACCCTCTCAACGCAAAGCAAAAAAAAAAAAAAAAA